AGAGTTGGGTTTTAATTACCCACATTTTATTCTAGCGTCGTGGGGGCGTCGGGAGAAGAAGAGGACGGTCGAGCGAGGCGCGAGCGGGGGGCCAGCCGGCGAGGAAAGAGGAAGAGCGTGCTGCACGAGGGAGGGGCCGGGCAGGAACGGTAGAGCCGTTCTGGCTGTTCCGGCCCATGTCGGTCCCCGGAGCATTCCACCAGCGAGATTCGGGTCAGGACTGGCGGAAATGGCGAGCCCTGGCCATACCGTCCAAGGCCATGACGATCCAGCAGTGGTTCCGCAGCGAGACACTGACTGTGATAGCCCGGAACAGCTAGCCTACGCAGCACTGGCGTGGGAAGGACGATCCGCAGGCCTGGACACGGACGCCGACTGCGAGCTGTGAACGACGGGCAACAACTAGGGTCGGCGGGTCCGGACTGCCGGCTCTCGAAGTCGGGCAACCGGGAAGTGCAGTAAACCCATTCGCTGCCTTCTTATTGTGTTGTGTCGCTTCCTAGGAGACGAGCGAAGACAGACCGATCGGGCGGCGATTATTATAGAGCGACCCTACAAGTGGTAAAGACAACTTAAATTGGTGTTCAAATGACAACTCTAGAATATGCTCTGAACACTTCGACCTATCAAGGCTCCGATGGTCTTAAAAAAACGCATAAAATAAACAGGGACATGGCGCGCACGTGCACTAGGGGACTGCTGAAATTGGGGTCGCCGCCGCTCGCCACGGCCCGACGGGCAGACTGGCCACCCCGTTAACAGAGACACCTCCGCCTGTGGAGCTGAATGCAGCACTCTCGTGGCTTTGCCTGTCCATTGCCGGCTGGCTATCATGCGCTTGCGCTATCCTGCCCCGAACGACACATAAAAGCATGATATCACACAATGTAAAAGATCTCACTCGAACCTTCGATCTATCATGACACCGCCTTCATTACACTTTTCGAGTGATGGCTCATATGCGAAAGGTACGGTGAAGTGCGCGGAAAGATAAAATTGTTTGTTCGGCTGAGTGCCGATGAGGATCATGTGAGTCACATAATTTTGTCGCAGCCGTGCGAACGTTATAGTTGACGCAATCATAAAATTCTATGCCCACCGGCACTAACTTGGCAACAGGAGCCGAAATCCACACGAGCCTTTCTATGCCACAGAGAGAGGAGCGCTAACCGTTTGGAGCGCTTCCCCAACTCCGACGTTACCGCGCCGCCTCGAGGCGCAATCAGTCCGTCGGCGTCTCGCCGTCTGCCGGGAAGCGAAAAGCGAACGCGGAGGAGAGGCGAAAGCGACCCCCCACCCCTCCCCCATACCCCCTCTGCCCTCCACAGCAGGTTGAGACATTGCAGAGGGCGCTGGCAGGGAGCCCGCAAGAGCAAGCACCCCTCCCCCTTCCTCCTCCACCCTCCACAGGACCCAGCGCGCTTACATGGCGGAGGAGCAGGCGAGCGACACCCAAACCAACCCTGAGCCCCACACAGTAGTTGCGAAGCGGGAGTCTCCTCGCCCACTAAGATGGCTAGGGAGCTCACGTGACCAACCCAGCTAATACCAGCGCTCACCGCGACCTATCATGGCCATGGTCCTCACACTCACGTCCTCAGGCAGACTAATGCAATCACCGGACTCATATCTACCCTAACACTCACGTCTTGATCCAGGCTCATGCTCATGAGCCTTGAAACTCACAATCAAACTCAAGAGATCTCAAAACTCACGCTCATGAGTACTTCACTTAGAGCTCAAGCTCACACTCACACTCATGAGCCCTAAGAACTCACGCTCATCAGTTTTCAGAACTCACACTCAAACTCATGAGTTCTCAGGACTCAAACTCACACTCAATGGTTTTCAGAACTTACGATCACACTCACGATCAAACTCACGCTCATGTGTTCGCACGACTCACACTCACACTCGTGAGTTCTCAGAACTCACGATCACACTCACGATCAGACTCACGCTCATGAGTTCTCAGGACTCACACTCACACTCATGAGTTCACATAACTCACGATCACACTCACAGTCACACTCATGAGTTCACATAACTCACGATCACACTCACATTCACAATTTTTCGTGACTCGCGGCCTCACTCACGATCACCTCAAATCTGACGGTGAGCGTGAGTGATCCTGAGTGATCGCACTCATGAGTGAGAATGCCGAGGTATGCAGGTAGGGCACTTCCTCGATCTTCAGTTGGTGCAGCCACCACCTGGTGCCGTCGGTATGTTGAAAAGGTCCATTGACTGCGTAAGTGTGACGTCATGGGTATAAACAAACCGTTGCTAGGATCGTTGTCATGGACAAATACATGTGGCTAGGTTTCGCCACAAAAGCTCGACCGTTCAAAAATCAGGAGTAGGATTTAAGCTTCTAAAAATCACAGATATAGAAAGCCTGAATGTCATATATGTTTCGACAGAAGTGTGCTAGTAATCGCTTGTTTCTAAAATATTTACGACTGCAACTTCCGGTCCTCAAGGTGCCTGCAGCAGGCGACGAATGCAAGAAGTATGCCGCCTGCCACACGCCGGCAGGCCAAGCTGGCGCCGTCGTTTGAATCGTGTGAATAAGGACGATGTTCTAATATTTCCTTTGTTATAAATATAAAGATTTTCAGTACCTTAAAATAATTCATAGTGGGGTGCGATGCAAAATATGGTTTATCGAAAGTCCGGGCGTCGATCGAGATGATTATCTGCTAAAAGATCGCATCGGACCCTTGAGAAAAGCACTTCAGGCGATCGGTCGAGATCCCAAATTTTGTTTGTGGACTTGCGCTATGTGAGGGTGCGTCGTACATGGTTGTGAACATCGCTGCAATGGTTACTGAAAAATCGCGATAGACATTAAATTCTTCTAATAACCTGACAACCTCAATAATAATAATAATAATAAGAAGAAGAAGAAGAAGAATAAACGAATTACCTTGACGGTGTCCGATTTGTGTTTCATACTGGCCTGCACTACGCCGGTAGTGCACTTCAGGTCGTCGTCGTAAATGATCAGCATGACGTGGTTTGATTTTACGGCGTTTTCACCCCTCTGAACTAAGCTGGATTCTTTCACAGAAAAAAAAAAAAAAAACGCACATTGCGGAGGCCTCTACGGCCACAGCAATGCACTTGATTTTGTCGCTTGTTTACCGACGCAATTCAATGAAGACGCCCGCTGCAACAGATGCCAAAAAATCTATCGTGTCGTCTGCTACCAAAGCAAAGCGGAGTGTGATACTTCAGAAATGGCTTTCATTGTTGCAATACGACACTGAGACGGCAAGAACATTTTTTATAATTAGATATCAAGAAGTTAAGTTGCTTACAAAAAATTATTTATTTACTTGTAAGCAAAAATCTAGAATCATGTGGAGTCTCCATGCATTAGTCCATAGCAACGTCCTTAGCAACGGTTTCTTTGGACCCAGAAGCCTTGTTGTGGCGTCAACACTTATGGGGTCAATTGGTCGTCCGCTCTCGTGTCGCGCGTTTAACGGACCATTTGCTATATTACCCAAGCATCAAGGAGAATGCAGGGATTGGTGTTCCACGTGCCACACGCGCACGCCTTCCCCGTATAAAAAAAAATCGAAGTAAATAACCAAAATAAAACGTTGACGAACGCGCGTGTAAGATACAGTTTGTTTCAGGTTTTTGCTTTAGAAAATTTACTATTGCTGAGGCCAGCACGTGCCGCGCGTGGAACACCAATCCCTGCATTCTCCTTGATGCTTGGGTAATTTAGCAATAGGTCTAATGGTCATGCGCTCCCGTGACATGCGCTGTGTCAAGCGCGCTACTATCGCAGCGCCCTCGGGTCGCGCGTTCTAACGTCGGCGCTCTAATGTCGCGCGCTCTAAAGGCGCTCTCCCAGCCCATATTGAGCACTCACGCAGTGCTTGTGTCCAATCTCTGAGCCGCTTTCAGCTATCGTCACCTGGGCGTAATCCACATGACTGCGTCAACAGTGCGATCTATTACGTTAACAAGGTTTGCGAAAAAAAAAAACATAAAAAAGATCCGCGTTCTTTTTTTTTTTTTTTTTTGCATCAGGGCAAAGCTTTTTTGGGGCGCCATTGAGCGCGAGCATAATTGGATGCCGATACTGTCAGCAAGCTTGTGTAAAGTGAGAAACATTCCAAACTAACACGACCCTTTTCAAACCATGCGCATTTTGCCCATGCGGTTACACTCTGCACCGTCCCTCGCAGCTAACGATAACGCGCACGACGAACCATATTTTGCTGGAAAGAATGTTTCGTTTTCCAGTTCCTCTGTTGATATACGCCAGTGCTTATCACACCAGAGGAAACTGCCAAGTCACTGGACGCATGAGCGGCGTCTGGTGTTCCGCAGAATAAAGCAACTGCGCACGCTCACAAAGCGTTCCCCCAGCCCGATAGACAAATATCACAGCGCGCAGAAGGCGATTTTTAGAACGCTGACATTCTCTTTCCGAAACATGCAATGTCACGTTTCAGCCGACCCCGCAACTAATTGTGCTGTCCGTAGGAAGCACAGTGCGCGCGCGCACGAAGTCCAAGAAAATAACACAACAATGAGCTATCTTATACAACCTTCGCTCCATGGCAAGGGCAATAAAATAAGGGTGCAACCACTATAGTCTGTTTCCCTTCAAGTACAACCGCAGCCGACGCCACAATCCAATGCAGCCAATCAAGCGGCTCTAAAAGTGCAACGTCACGGCGATCATCGTCTTTGTGCGTTCGGTACCGCCGGCTACACCGCGATCCTGCGGTTTTTATATGTGTGTGATTGGTTTTAGCCTGTGATACCAAACCGCAAAGACCGACGACACCATAAATAAACAGATAAACGAAGTAAAGAGGCTCGTATGTTCCCGCTGTGCGCACGCGCAAATGAAAGGGGTACTTTAGTCTGTCACGCCCCCGGGTATTGACCGTCGATTCATATTGCGGTCATAGTTTCACGCGCCAACATCTCCGGTCCTCTCATCGTCACAAAGAATTGAACGGACCATGGCCTCAAACGGCGCGAAAACGGAAGGTGGCAAGATGTACCGCAGCATCACGGTTGTCGACAAGACCTCTAAGTGCATCAGCGTCGTCGACAGCTTGCTCAAATGCAGAATGCTGGGACTCGACGCCGAAGGCGTCGCCCCAAGAAGCAGGGGCCCGATCAGCATGGTCACACTGGCCACGCTCGGACGGAACGTCTACATCTTCGACGTCAAGGAGTCCGAGGAACTCTTCGATGAAGGCAACCTCAAGCTGCTCCTCGAGTCTTCCAAGATGCTCAAGGTAGTCCACGACTTCCGGAACATCGCAGAGACGCTCTACAACACGTTCGGGGTCAAGGTGAGGAATGTCTTCGACACGCACGCGGCCTACCAGACAATCGCTCTCCAGAGGGGCATTTTAGAGACCAAGGCCCTCAGCATGGACGAACTGTTCGCACTGTACACCGAGCCGGCCAACCCGGAGAGCCCCTACGTCAGCTGGACGAGCGCGAACTCCAAGTGTTTCACGTTGCGACCCATCACCAAGTGCGTGGCGTACTACACGGCCTTCAACACGTGCTGTCTTCTAACCTGCGTGTACGAGGACCAGGTCAGACGGATCCGCCTGAACTACTGGCCCCTCCTGGCCGCGCTCAGCGATGACCAGCTGGGCAACCGGACCAATTCCGAAGATCTGATCATAGAGGCGCTATTCCAGTCTGTCAAGGACCAGGAGCACTGCCTGGAGTCCCGTTTCGGCGAATCGTTTCCCGAAGATTAACAAGCCTGATCACGGAAACAGTGATCATTGGCCCGCTGAATTGGATGGTCTGGTGCAGCGAGGTTTTATTCACGGAATGTTTTTAGCTACATGGGGGTGTGCGGTCTGAGTACATGATGCCAGAATAAAGGAATCGACCTTGATGTCTCCTTTTCATTATTTGCGGTGGCTTGTTTCAAGAAGACTACTTTTGTAGTCTCGTTGTTTCTAGTCTTGTTTTGGTCTTTTCTTAGATAGTAGCCGAGCGGATACGATTTGAGGATAACCTAAGCTTTTATTTCCCCTGCCTTCGCCGTGCTTTACATGACAATCGCGTCGTGATGGAAATTTGACCATTTACGGTTTTGAATCGTGCAAGCCCAAGCGAGCGCGTGGCTCCGGAGACCAAATGCGAATGAAAGCTGAGCTGTCATCGAGGCTCGTTGTGCACGAGAGCATCGCAGCGGCCGTTCGTTTTTTGTCGTTACTCCCCACCTGGACGGCGAACGACTGTTGATTCAACACTGCTTCGGCATCCCGCTTGCATACTCCGTAAAATAAGTCTCCTATTGTTTCATCCTACGTCACGAACGTCTCACGTCAAACGCCCGAAGAGAGATCGATCACCTGGCCGAAGCGATGTGCCCACTCGGTGGCTCCCCCGGGCGCGATAGCGAACGGATGTGTAAAGCGCGATCCAAACCAACGCTTCTTTTTGCGCCTGTAGGTCGTGCGGCTGCGGATGTGACGCATTTCCTGACGTTTTTGCTGTTTCCGGGCGCGCTTTCTGAGTCAGATTCCGCATTTCCTGACGTTTTTGCTGTTTCCGGGCGCGCTTTCTGAGTCAGATTTCCGGGCGCGCTTTCTGAGTCAGATTCAGAATCTGACTCAGAAAGCGCGCCCGGAAACAGCGAAAACGTCAGGAAATGCGTCACATCCGCAGCCGCACGACCTACAGGCACAAAAAGAAGCGTTGGTTTGGATCGCGCTTTACGCATCACTCTGCGGCGGCGGCCGTTATCGGCCGCGGTGATAACGTTGCCCCCGTTTTGAGGGATCATCGTCTGCAGCTGTCGACATTGCCCGCCGCTGAAGCGGCGAAACTCAGCGTGGTCCTTCACGCTGACCTCGAAGGGAGACCGTATCGCCTCGAGGACTTCCGGGACCCGTTGAAATAGGTGGGCGTCTTCTCAGACGTGGCAGGTGGGAGCCTACCAGATGAGCCACGTCTGGCTGCTCAAGTTGCGGACGCCGGAGGCCAAGGCGAAGCTGCTGCAAGCCGGGAGTCTCCAGGTGAAGGGGAAGACTTGTCTGCCGGTCTACCCCAACCGGAGGGAGCTTCGCGTCAAGCTCCACTGGGTTTCCTTTGACGCGCCGCTGGACTTGATACGGCGGGCCTTCGAGCCTTTCAGGGAGGGGAAGGAGGTTTCATGAGAGAAGTGGAAGGTCGACGGCTTCGTTGACGTCGACTCCATACCGTCGTTGTTCGCCGGGCCCTCAAGGAGGGCGTCGCCCTAGAGAGCCTTCCGCACCAGCTCCGTGTCAGCGGAGGCAACGTCTTGGTCGTGGTTCCCGGGCGGGCGCCGATATGTCTCCGTTGCCGTCGCACGGGGCAGATTCGCCGCGACTGCCGGGCTCCCCGGTGCTCGGAGTGTCGCGCCTTTGGACACGAGGCCCGGGACTGCGTCAAGACATACGCCCGTGCTGCCTCCAGCAAGTTTAGTGAGGAGTCCACGGAGCTGCTGATGGATGAGGACGAAGCTGAGCAGGCTGCGACCCCGGCTACGTCAACGGCGAGCGTAGCGGCCGCTCCCGACTCCCAGGGTGTCGCGGTGTTCGTGGAGCCGTCCGATGTCAATGCCGCGACGGTTGCTGGGACGGTTGGCCGGGCCGAGTCTCCGGACGTTCCGTCCGTCGAGGCGTCGAGGCCTGGGAACACGGCAGCCGGCACGCGCGACGACACCGCCCCTGACTTGCCAGGGGAATCGCTCATGGAGGACCAGGACTCATCGGCAAGCGGTCCAGCCCCGAAGCGGACGCGGGACGGCGGAGGCGGGGACTCCAACGCGACGAGCCAGGAAGGTCCATCCTCCAAGGCGGCGCCCCTCTGGAGAAGGCGGCTCCAAGTCAAAACATTCCTGTGAATGACCAGAAGGGGGCGCAGCCACCCCCTGACCTGGCGTGCCCAGTGGCTTTCGGGCGCCGAAGCATAGAGTAATATACACAAGGTAAAGAGCGGGCACTGCCATAGGCCCCAGCGGCCCAGATAGACTAGGGCTCCCTAAGATAGACCAGTGACAGGTAGCGCTCCTAGCGGGCGGTATTAAGTATAATCTGATTCCGTTTCCGGTCAAGTTAGTTTCGGTTTCGGTTTGGGCGTTTCTGCTCTGCTTCTCCGGTACCCTTCTCTCTCTCTTTCATCCCCGCCTCGCTCGGCTCTGGCTCCTTGACTCCCGAAGCCGCAGTTGTTGTTTTTTTTTGTTTTGTTTTTGCTTTTAATATTGAATCACTTTTGCTTTATTTTTTACGATAGAGTCCGTGAAAAATGTGTCAAACAATATTTCAACTTACTTCACAAAGCAGAAGTATATATATGTCTTGTACTTTTTCTATTGTAAAGCATTGAAGTTACACAATTGCCGCATTGAATCCTGGCTGGTGGAGCATTTTGGGGTCAACAACAGTAAGTGGTTCGAACACATTTTATTGGACCACAATCATGTATACATGATTTACTTCAGAAGCTCTGTATGTTTTATACGAAAGAGATCGATACTCACAAAAATAAATGAATATGAAGGACTTCGGCATATCGTACACTTCGTAATAGATCCTTAGCGGAACCAAGTTAACAACAGCTTTCCACGGAGAACATGCTGTATGATGCATTCACTTTCACGCCGACTCGGGTACGGGAAGTAAATCCAAAAATAAATAAGACATCGCTATCATTACCAGTCATAAGAGTATTATAACAGTGCGAAGCACATGCCGGATAGTACAAATTCCCGATTTCCGGCAAATATAAAAAAACACCAATTTGCATAGCCTCAAACTCACTGCGGGCGAGCCATTACCAAACAATGAGAATTGTATTCGAAATCTGACAAGATGCAACCTCCCTAAACATTCCCCGAAATTGTTCAGAAAAGAAATATAGCTTCAGAAAAAAGCGGCTAAAAACAATGGACAGTGGACACAAAAGTGGATATATTTTGTTTCAAATATTTTTAGCCTCTATACACTATTTTCTATCGAAATGTTGTAGAAAGTGGACAAATATTTTTGTTAGGGAGCCGTGATACACATTCGCTGGAAACAGGGGAAACATATTTGGAGAGCAAGCTGCACCACCCACTTAATAAGCGCTTTTTGTTTTTGGTTTGGCAACCGCCTCTGTTAATACACTATTAACAGTTAAACCTGTCTCGTTCTTACTAGCCACTGAAGAGTGCAACCGAACTTTGTCCAAATTCCGGTTAAGAAATCAAACATGTCAACACAAGCGTATTCTGCAAAACAAGTTTAAAAACCATTTGTGGTACTCCTCTGGGCAAAGGCTAAAACCATCCAGACCTCAAAGTGTGATATACAAGGCGGCACACACTCCTCGAACATGTGTCACACTCTTTATTATGGAAAGAAAGTGATTTCCTAGTTGCTGAATGAAATGAAAGGCAGCCTGTGATGGTGCTACTAAGTTCCCGAAGAATTTTCCAGACACGTGGTATGCTTTAGGAACAAGACAGTACTGGTGAGGCCTGGTCAAGTTATTAGACTCATCCGATAGCAGCTGAGAACAGCCACAGCTGTAAGTTGTCTGTTCAAGCAAAAGCTTGATCAAATAGCCCCAAACGTAATAAAAAAGTGGACGAGTCATCAATTATGTTAGACCTGATGCCTGATGCCAGCTCAGAAATATCCTCTAGTGGCGGGAAGTTATCAATTGGAAGACATTCCACAATGTCTGAAATTAAACTTTCATGGTGCGAAGATATTTGCAACTCCTTTAGGCGGTCAGCCTTGTAATCCTCTACGTTTTCATTGTCCGACAGTTTGAACAGTTTCTTTATCCAGAGGTGTTAGTCCTGAGGTGAACTGATGCACATTTGGGTTTGTGTTGCAGCCCAGCATTTGTCGTATATAGCTCCAAAAACGTTCTCAAGTGTGTCTTGCTGCAGGCGTCGTGTAAGTAAGAACTTAAAGTCATGGCTGCTTGAAAGCTCATCCCAGAGCATGAGGACACTTTTTATTGTAACTTGCCACCCAATGATGGCTTATGGCTGCCTCCTACTTTGGAGCTGCCATGCTGAAATCCATACGAGTTACTGGTGGAGAAAATAAAATATTTCAGATTCTCCCTTCAGAATGGCATGACGCGAATTCTGCCCTGTCTTCTTGAATTTTTCAGCTATTTAGAGAATCAAAAAGTATGCACATCCTATCACAGAAATAGGCTGTAGCCATGGCTGCCTCAGGAAGTTCCTTGGCATAAACAAGGGATATGATTGCAAGAAAGAGTGAGGCACTCAGTACCTGTGGGGCACAATTTTCTTCCATGTTACAGAAAGGTTCTTGAAAAAATATCTCTCAGTAAGCTTCGGAGCCAATTGCCAGCTCATCTCATGGATAGAACAATAAAGTTCAACAATAAAAGACCACTCAATGACCTCATTTCCAATGCAAAGTTTGTGGGCTTGGAGATTGCTCTTGGTTGTTTTGGGAAGGTGCGGAACATCAAAGACAAAGTAAACGTGTTCGTTGTCAACTTCAAAAAATGGCTTATCACCACATACACCAAGCTTACGTTTGAAGCCCCCTAACCACAGACCACAGCCTTTACTGTGAAGTCAACAGTCTTAAAGGGGCGATGCACTGATATTTTTTTTGCACAAATACCGCTTAGAACGAATCCCTGACGTTAATGATCTGTGAAATACCCGTTCGTTTTCACCACACGCAATCGAAGTCGCAGAAAAAAATAAAGAAAAACGAGCAGAGTCCACCCCCTCAACTCGCAGCCAGAACAAGCGGCCCCGTGATATGGAGCCAAATATATACTGCCAATGTTGATCATAGCCATGCGCTAAGGTTGGCAGGACACGCGCTGAGTTCCAGACATTGTTATGGTTTGACGTTCGGCTGTTGTCGTCATTGCAGCGAT